AGTGGACTGAATTTGCACTATTTCTAGCAGTCTGCAAAGGCCCATAGTTTTGGCATAGATTTTGCATTGTCTAGAAATGTGATTTTATAGACATTTTCTGGTTATAGTAGTAGAACATCCTCTAAGCAACATGTCTTATATAAACATAATGTTCCTCAAGTGTCAGCCAACCTGTAACCATCTATCCCAAGAGGAATGGTTCTCTCTTTTAACCAGCACAGTAAACTATGATGAACGGACTAGGAAATCATCATAGGAAGGAGCTACAGGATGCTGCTCCTCCTCTGACGGAAGTAAGGAGTTTTTATTACTGTGGCTGAAGTGTACTTACCTGATCTTCATCCAACAAAGATATGAGCCTTATTGCACCTAAAGAGAGCAGAGTATCAGAGCCCTTTGGCTCTGCTCTGCCTACCTGCCCTTAAGCAGGACTAAGGTCTCTTTATGTGGACTGCACCCAGATGGGTTCTCTCTTTTTGTACATTCAAGTTGTTTCCAACTTATGGAGACCCCATCATGGGGTTTCCTTGGCAAGATTTGTTCAGAGGAGGGTGGCCACTGTCTTCCCCTGAGGCTGAGAGTGTGTGACTTGCCCAAGGTCACCCAGTGAGTTTCATGGCTGAGCTGGGATTTGAACCCTGGTCTCCAGAGTTGTCATCAAACAATCAAACCACTACGCCAGGGGTAGGCAACCTTTTCCCTTTAAGGGCCAAGGGACTTCAGCTCCCAGAATCCCAGGAGCTATTGGCCAACATGGCTGAGGCTTCTGGGAGCTGAAGTCCCTCGGCCCTTAAAGGGGAAAGGCTGCCTACCCCTGGTCTAAGCCCTGGCAGCTGTGGCACAATGGGAGGAGAAACTTTTTGTTGCTATGCCTCAGGAAGCAAAATCTCCTGCCAAGGGTGGTTCACATGCAATTTGAATTCAATCAGGGCTTGAATAGCAAGCATCATATTGACAGGCAAGTGTTTCAGTGGTACGGAGATCATGCAAATTCTGCAACACATCTGTCTCTGGTCTGTTCCAATTGCTTTTGTGGGTATCCATTAAATATGCTACCTCGTCTTCATTTGCACATTCACTGTTTGAGTTGATCCCGATTCATGGCAACCCTGTGGATGAGACATCTCCATGGTCACCTGTCCTCAAATGCCTGTACTGCAGCCACTCACTTATAGACAAGGTTGCGAGTTCAATACCAGCCAGGGCTGAGGCTCGACTCAGGCCTGCATCCTTCCAAGGTCGCTAAAATGAGTACCCAGCTGTTGGGGGGCAATCAGCTCACAGTTGTAAACCGCTTAGACATCCCAAAGTGTGATATGAAGCGGTATATAAATGAAGCTGCTTTGCTTTTTTGCTTTGCTTAGGTCCATAAATTCATACCCATGATCTCCCAAATTGAGTATATCCACATTCCTCTTTCTGCTGCCTTCTAGCTTTCCTAGCATTATTGTCTTTTCTAATGAATCATTCCTTCTCATTGTGGGTCCCATGTACAACAGCCTCAGCCATCTTGGCTTCCAAGGAGAGTTCAGGCTTGATCTGTTCTTGGATCCACTTGTTTGTCTTTCTGGCTGTCCATCTTATCCTCAGCACCCTTCTACAGCACATCTCAAATGCCGCTCAACAATTCCAGCATTAGGTCTTCTCTAGACCATGAAGGTATAATTGCTCTGATGCAATTATATGCGCTCTCATGGGTGTCCCCTTCCCATTTTTTAAACAATAAACAGTAGTGCTTTAATCAGCTTCTGCCATTGCAAAACAGACCACAGAATCCATGCAGCAGTCCATGCCCTATGTTACCTTTAAGGACAAAAAATGTGTATTTCCCTACAATGTAAACCTTAATTCAGAACCTGGCCTGTTCATGTAAACAAGTTTAACGACCAAAATTTCTCACATCAAATGCAATATGCATTGATGCAGCGTAATAAAACAGCAGACAGCCAAAGCACTCATGCAGACCACAATTACAATGCCTGGTCAATTTATTTTTAATAAAAGGGTTAGCCTGGCATAAATTCGTAGATCCAAAACACACTGCAGAAATAATCCAGTCTGAGACTGCTTTAACTGCCCTGGC